GGGAGGGAAGGCATGAACTGTTACCTTGCTGTTGCGGTGTCCGACGTTCTGGATCATCTTTTTTCTTATGGCTTATTGTTGTTGTTTGTTGTGATTCTTTAATTTTAATCATGGATAATAAATATGAATAAAGAGTATTGTCTGTTAAGCCACAGAAGTATTGTTTACCATAATGTTCAATAAATGTTTTTATTTTATTTTCAACTTGTTGCATTATTTGTTGTTCATTAGATATTAATTTTTCCAACTGTCTACGATAAAAATCTTCAATTGATAATGAAAATTTCTGAAAACGGCTAAGAAATGGCGGTGGTATTTCATGAAGCTCACTACGTTTCACATGAACTATACATTGAAATTTTTCGTGAACAATACAATCGACTGTTTTTGGACCAATGGCTACTTTAGAAAATATCTTTCTTTCGTCACCGGTAGCCATTATTGAAAAATTTTGATTAAAGACATCGTACAATGAACCATGTATTCCTAAAAATAACGATATACATGGTTTCCTAATAAAAACAATCAATACTCCGATACTTACGGCCCGTGTTAATCATTAATATTGTTTTACCAGTTTCCATACATAACTTAATTTCAGACAAACGTTCAACATTTCTCAATTCATTGTTAATGTCATCAACGAAATCGGACATACGAAATACGCTTGTTGTACTTGGATTTAAAACACCAACTTGAAAAAGTAAATTTGATGCTTCATTTTCACTTTCGTCAATAATCAATTTGTATCGCCCATATAAACGACGCCGATTAGAATCAAGATTCATTGAATCACATAATATTGATATTGTATTAAAATTATGGTTTTGTGGTAATTTAAATTGGCCACATTGATCTTGAATTGATTTGAAAAAAATTTCCACGAGTTTTTGAAATTGATCGTTTCTTATCCCATTAAAGTTGTTTTCTAGTGAATTTAATAAAGCCATTGGTGTAATACTATTTATACATTGGTGTTGTTGTTGTAATTGTTCATTTGTATTTCTTGCACTGAATTGCAGTTCGCGCAACATATAAATAAAATCTCTGTCATGAAAAATATGCGGAATGTCAGGAGATTTCAATATTTTCTGGTAACCATTGCATAAACCTGTTATAATTTTTCCCAATTGTTGTTTATCTATTTGTTTATCTTGATAATTTAATCCCAAACAACCAAAAGCAAGGATTTTTTGATCTTCCTCTGATGGCAATGATCGATAAACACACAACATACGATTTGCATTAGCTACAATAAAAGAAATCAAACATTAAAAGTTGATTCTTTGAAAACCAATAACTAACGATTTACCCGCATCGAACGCTTTGTTACTTATAGCCACAAATGAAACTTTACATTCATCGAGATAAGGATGCAATACTTTCAAAATCATTTTTTTTTCATCAGGAAGACCTATATAAAAAATAATTAAGAATTTAAGATTTTATAAAGAGATAAAAACTAACCTGCTTCATCCAAAAAAACAACACAACGTGTTTCTATACGACTTTGCTGATATTGTTCTTCACGTTTAATAGCGTGATTGAATATTGTTGCAATATCTTGACTCTTACTGTATTTCGATCCGAAACAAAAGAGAGGATCTATGCCTGGCTATAATAAAATAGTAAATAGAATTATAGGATGAATAATGGTGTGAAAGTGTAAAATTTCCTCTTACCAATCTACGGCAGAATCTTCTTGGTGATAACTGACTGCCTTGCAAATTTTGAAGAACAATTTGAAATGATAATGTTTTCGAGCGTCCTGGATCTCCAATTATGCACAATGGAGTCCGAGTTGTAACAGCAACACAGATAGCAAATATGTGTTCACGCACCTACAGCAGAAATAAGAGGATCCATAAGCAGTTTTTGTAAATGTCACCCCTCTTCCTCTACAATAGACTACCACCTGGGGTTCTATTTTGTCCGGCAAGTCAAACTCTAACGAGTGGTCTTCTATTGTAGTAACCATTGGAAAGAGCAGCTCGTGAGACGTTTATCCATGTAGAAAGTAAATTTTTTCCAAGAGGTTTTCCCGGTAGACCTGGTCCAGTAAAACCCGTGGTACCTCAAAATTAGTCGACAAAAAAGTTTTTTTTTCGAGTGGGTCATAGATTATTGGCTACCCTGATTCCGAATATCACCATGCCAGCTGCCATTAGATTTTCAGAGAGAGGTTTTCTGAAAAAACAGTTTTTCGGAAATTCCAAAAAATAACTAAAACCTGTTCTTAATGGGTTAGAATTGTAGTCCGTAAATTTCTGATTAAAATGAGATACCACCCAGCTCTAGAAAACCTTTCGTTGCAAAGTTATAGAATTTACAACAAAAGCCCTAACTGTTCATTGTCGGTCCAAAGCCACAGAAATAAGGAAAAAACTAATTTAGGACTTCTCTTGTAAATACTATAACTTTGCAACGAAAGGTTGTCTAGAGCTGGGTGGTATCTCATTTTAATCAGAAATTTACCTGCAATTCTAACCCCGGGAAAACCTCTTGGAAAAAATTTACTTTCTATATGGATAAACGTCTCACGAGCTGCTCTTTCCAATGGTGAAAACCGCAGGTCTCTAGATCTTTTTGTTCCGGAGTTATATGCGGTTTGTTCACTCATCTTATTTTCGGAAATATATAATAGTAGTCCAACGGTAACACCAACGCTAACTGACTAGGAAAATGGTCAAGAAGTCTTTATGTAAAAGAGATAAGACGACCATTCGAATCAAAGTAAATTCTGTTAGAACGTTCGCTCTTCAATGACCGTTAAAATCAACCTTCCACAAGCGACAGAAGCTATTTTCTGTCTATTTGATGTGACGTGTGTGCACTGTTTAGAACTACCCAAGAAAATAGAAACAGACCGACTCTTTTGTTTTATGAGTGGCTCTCGATAACCGACGCATCGCAATTTCCTCGGATGCCCCAACACCAGTTAAAAACTGGTGCGTAGCGAGCCCTACTGCGACTATGATGAAGAAAAATGCCTTTTATCTGTTGTCAACCTTTGAAAAGATATCGTACTAGATACTCTTTTTCTTCTACCTATTTTTCACGGTGACTCGAGAATGGTAACACTTACAGGCGAAAAATAGTTGCTATTACCAAAGAAACATTTTATCAAATTTGATTGCATGAATGACGAGATAATTTCACGAATTAAGTTGTCCATCTACAGGTACCATCTAACGACAAGTAACCACAATTAGAGCCCTGCATGTCACGCGTAACTTGTCCTAGGCTCCAAGTCATGACAGGGTGACGTCGAGGGTTTTAGGGGTTTAGAGTTCTCAGGTCAGGGTTAGTGGTGACGCTGTTCATATCCTATTTTCAACCTGCAAAAAGAAAATACGCTGAGCGTCATCTGTAAAAAAGTCTCGACAGATGGTTTTTATTGAAGAAGCGTGATTGATAGCGCAGGAAGATGTGTTGCGGGAATTACGAAGAAAAATCAAATTTTGATGAGGTTGAGGATTGACACGAAGACAATCGTTGAACCCAGAATCTGGATTCAACGACTGTTTTCCTCGTCATCTGGATTCCAGATGTTGTTGACGATATATTATTGATCAGAAATTTTAGAGATAAATGCTCTTTGGTAATTGCTTTTTGATGCACAAATAAAGTGAATGAAATGAGGTTGAAGGAAGAAAATATTCGTCTCAGACTTTTAGAGCAATTTTTTCTCAGGACAGGACTTATTACAGTTTACATGTTATGAGGTCGCGGGTAATAAGTTGTGGAAGTTTTTATAGAGCAGGTTACAAGTTATGAAAAAGTGGACAGAAGTCTAACCACAATCTAACGTGTTTTTTTAAAAATCCCAATGGATGAGAAACTTAGCAGACACAGAGACAGAAACAGGGCGAATCATAGAACTTACCGCTTGATTTAATGCTACACCATTTGGTATTAAAAAATTTTCATGTGTAACAAATCGTTCTAATTCAGTTTGGATAATACAATCAAAGTTCGGTATTGTTCGAGATAAAACTTTTGAGAATTGTTCGCGTGTAGCTGATTTAAGATCTCCATATTGCACACGATCAGCTACTGTTGGCAGGCGAAAATAATAGATTAAAGCGATAGATAAAGCAATACACGCCACTGGATTTGGAGCATTATCATTATCATCATCATTATTTTCTCTTCTGTCGTTTAATTCATCATCATATCGCAATTTCCAAAAGAAATCAATTATCGAAAAACATCGCTGTATTTCTCTTTGTGATACAGAATTTTCGCCTACAAAACAGAACAAAAAAGTTTTAAAGTTTGGTCATTTGTTATAAAATCGCTGTAGCAAACGGTCATTCGATGGAGTTTCCGGTAGTTTCGTACCGTATTAAAAAGTTACATAAAAATTCAGGAATCAGTAGATTATGGGTGCAGACCACACATAGAAAGGTACAAGCATTTACGATCTCCTAAGCCAAGTCCAGATGCATGGTGTATGTCGTAATAAAAATTTTCCTTGATCCGTAAAAGACTATGGCAAAAATGAATTTCAAACCATTTAACCTCTTATTTTGGTTAATAATAGTAGTCGATAAGTACACTTTTAACAAAAGGTTCTCAAGTATCCATTCTGGTTTCTGTACACGTACGACGCACCTGAAATTTTTGCACCTACATCAAAAAGTTTATTCTTGCACTTAGGAGCGGTATGTACTGTTTTTTTTCTCAAAATTCTAGCGAAAACAGGAACTTAAAGAGAATGTTTTCTGAAAACTAATATTGCCATAAGATTCAGCATAGTCGATAATCTATGTTTTCATTCACTTCACTTTTCAAAGATCCTGAGAAAAACCAGCTGCAGAAAACTTTTCGAAAATTAATTTTGTGAAAATGTAGCTTCAACTGTAGTTTCCAAAACTAAAAATCGCAGATCTCCATTTCTCTTGGTTCTCGAGTTATTCAAAAAATGGCTATTCACATTATGTTTTTGGACCGACAGTAGTATCTAATGCATACGCACCTAAATGTATCATACAAAACTGTTGGGCGCTTAATATTGAATCACATAATACGCTTTGTACATAATCGTCTAATGGCATTTTTTGTGTATCGTCATTAATATCGAGCATTTCAATTTTTCGTTTTATATAATCACGTAACTGGCTATCTGGCAAGCTACCGTAACGACATTTTAGATGTTCTAAAGCTTCTGGTAATTCATGCACCAAATAATCTCGACGATGCACACTTATATCATCCTTCTCGTTTTCATTTGGTTTCGTATGTGGATTAATAGCCGCAGTGAAAAAGATGTTTTCAGGAAATGGTAAACCATTAATGTTACGATCGACTAACATCTCTTTAATGGATGATAAACACGATGATGTATTAACTTCATCAAGAAAGACTACTAATTCTACAACTGGTAAATGTTGTGCTAACATACAAATCGGTTGCTGAAAAAAAATAAAACAATTGATATTACCACATTTCCTTGTAGCCTGAGGCATCTTAATGAAGTTTGTGATTGTTCCTCATACAAGGATTGTTTGGGGCGTTGACTACAATATACCTCATTTTAAAAACTGAGTCTGAAAAACTGAGCTTTGTCTTTTCTACAACTCAATGATACTTAGGTTCAGATGATCGATTGGTATACGAGAAAACATTTTTCAAGTACGTTTATTTGTGCTACATCACGATAAACTCATGGATATTTTCAAGAATCAAAAAAGTTTCATAGCAAAGTTAATTTTTTTCAATTTTTCCATACACAAAAATCATTTCAGTTTTTTTTTCACTGTTTTTGCTTGATAATAAAGAGGTGTCTCAAATATTATTTGTTACAATAAAGATCAAAAAGGGACTTTCACTCTTGGATGTTATTTCCGACCCCGCCGAATGTGCTACTACACAAAGCTTTATTTCTGTATCAAAATTTGCCGTCTCGTAGCAAGATGGACGGAAGACAATTCTTTTCTTTTCTGGAAGGTCCTGTGCTGCTGATTTCTGTCCACGGTTGCCTTTTCAAAACAATTCCTCGCCACCGCTGACGTATAATTTCTGCAAATACATTTATCTGGCCGCAGCGGTTCCATTGTCAAATGTCTTTTATACACATGTTGTAAAAGAAATTTGTGTGAAAAGTGTGCCATTTTAAATTCAACCAAAATGACAGACAAATGAAGAATAAACATTATTTCTCAAACATTCCTCTAGTGTAGGGATGGTACTTTACTAGTTACTCGGCGTTACTTAAAGTTACTTAAAGTAACGAACTTAGTCACTTAGCAAATAGTAACTATGTTAGTTATTCGTTACTGGTAACGAAGTAACTACATTAGTTACGAGTTACTAACATAGTTACTATTTGCTAGGTAACTAAGTAACTAATCTAGTTACTTCGTTACTTTCGAAAGTAACGAAGTAATGAAATTCTTTTTAAAGAAATAGCCATATTCAACTTCTTTTCAATATTCTCTATCGTTCTAACATATAAATCTTGATATGAAAGTCACGTTTCCCTAATATGATCAAAGTTGTTTTATTGATCACTAATAAGACAGAAGAAAGTAAACTTCTTAGGATGTTTTAAAACATTTTCAAGTATTCAATGTTTCTGCGTGATAAATTAACAACTGGACAGTGAACAATGATGTTTTTAATTCTTTGTTTTTATTATATACTCTCATGTTGATATTGTATTGTTTTGTCTTATTTTATTTTTCTTTAATTTCGCAGAAAAATACACTGATTATCAATATTCAGTTGAGAGTAGAAAAAAAGAATAGAGTTAACTTTATTTGCTCAACATACGACTAAATGTTTTTTAGTTTAGGTGCGTAAATATTTTTAAAAGTTAGAAGCAGAACGCGATAAGAGGATATGAAAGACTACTCCTTCTCTTTACTACTTGCAATACTCTCATGAAGTATTGAAATAATTTTTTAGTGAAGCAGCTCTTGTCGATGGTTTCCACACTCTTAAAAGAAAGGATATGATCGGTTTTCACTAATTCCGGATAAGCAATCAATCTATATTCAAAAGATAGCGCATGTCGAGTATGATCGAATACAACTATTTTTAAATCTTCAAAGAATTTTTGAAGTGAAATGCAACTTTTTGTAGAATTGATGTTAGCAGTATTTTACCTATAACTCCTGTTCCTATGAACCGATTTTAACAATTTCTTTTTATTTCACTCCTCTTGCAGTGTCCTACTTATACACCAAATTTCTTCTTTCTAGCTCATCCCCTTATGAAGTTACGGAGCTTTAACTTTGAAAAAATGCGGTTTTTTCGGGAGGTATGGGAGGGAAAATGCCTTTTCTGTGAAAGATTCATTCAAAAAGTGTATATAATGCTAAACTGAATGTGCAAATTACCAAGTTTGTCAAGCATGTGCAAAGGCTTTACTCATGTACTATACGCAGGGGCAAGCTATTGAAAAAAAATCACACAATAGCAAAAGAAACCTTATGTCTTGATTATAAAAGCATTTATTGTGACTAGCAGAAAGAGGCTTACACAGAATACACATATAAATGACAAAAAATCCATAAATAGCACTAAAACTTTTATGTCTTCATGTTGTTTTTCGAACGTTGATTTGCTCTTTGAAGCATTCTTCTTAATCATTCTCCATACTGGAAACCTCGCGGTCTGACTCATTGGAGTACATGTTATTATTATCTCGTGAATCATCATCACCGATATTACTATCATCGACCGATTCTAAGTCATCATCATCAATATTACTATCATTGACTGACTCTAGATCGTCATCATCTGTATTTTGATATTCATATTTCCATGTTGTTACATCATTAATATATGTACTTAATTGAGCGCTTTTTGGATCCGTTTTAGCATATTGAACAGAAAATAATTCGAGATGTTTTCTACCATCATTATACATGACTTTACCATTTGATGTATAAATACGTTTTTTCTCTACACATTTCCGAGCGTGCATATTTGAAAATCGATAAATTTAACTTTGTTAAATCTTCGTTAATAGAGATACCTTGCTCTAGTTTTTTCTTATTTCTAAGTATCATTTGACGTGTACGATAACGCAAGAAGTGCACAATAATAGCACGTGGACGTTGACCCATACAACTGTTTATTTTATCAATACAATGGTTGACACCAATATCTTCTTTATTAATATCAATATCAATTTTGCACATGTATCAATTATTAAATGATCTGTATCTTCTCCGGTATCTTCTGTAATACTACAAAACCGAAGATTTGTTCTTCTATTATAGATTGATAGTACGTCAGAAGCAATTTGTAATTTACTTAATTGAATTTCTAGTTTATCAATTCTTTTTTCAAACGGAACAATAGCTTTTTCTAACGATTTGCGAAATGCCTTTTAACAGTACATCAGATTGAAGCACTTCTCTGACTAACTCTTCAATATTTATTTGAGAGTCATTAATTGCATCAGTACCTTTTGATATGTGGCTTCTTGTGGAGGTTTTAACTGGCATGTTGATGATAACGTACAATAAAAATGATAATAACTTGAACTCAAGTCGAGAGTGTAGTAGTGATGTAGTTTGCATTTTGAAGGGCGTCGAGAGTATCATGAATTCCACACTTAGAAGAATTAAATCGTGGCGACGCAGTCGTATAAGCAGCTTAACAGCTGAAATATGTCTAAAAGTTGCAACATTGGCTCCAACTTTGACAGATGACATAGTATATTCAAAATTATAGAAAAGAATTTAAGTAAAATCATTTTACATACAAACAGCGAGCAACTAGACGAGAAAGAAAAAGTAGAAAAATAGAGAAATCACAACTAGAAAATTCCTTGTAGAAAAATCTCTGTATATATTTGTCTCTCTTCTCTCTCAAAAGTCATTCGCCTGATAATGATACTGTGATAGTGTCGAAAGCTCACTGTTTGTATGTAAAATGATTTTACTTAAATTATTTTCTATAATTTTGAATATACTATGTTTCATTAAAAACGTAAAAAAGCCAAAAAGCATTAATATATGGAAGATGACGATGAAGAGCAACAACAAAACAGCGATGAAGACTAATTATGAAAATATTTGTGCTTGTTGCTTTTAAAAAATTTTGTATCGAAAAAGTCATCGTTACTAATCCCTATCGCTAACGAAGAGCTTCTGATTTTTAGTCAGCTGCCCAGGACGATGTAAATGACATAAAAAAAATGGCTCGTTTATGGCTCATTAATGAGTCATTAATTGCCAATTAATTGGTCGTTTTTTGGTCATTATTGGTCATTTTTACCTCATAAATGGCATCATTATTCGGTCGTTTTTTGGTCATTATTGGTCATTTTTACCTCATAAATGGCATCATTATTCGGTCGTATTTAGATCGTCTTTTTTACTAGGTAAAAATGATCATTCAATAACGATCATTTTTGTGACATTTCTCGGGCATTAATGAGCCGTTTTTGGATCATTAATTGGATAGTCGATAAACGCTTGTTTTCAATGATCATAAATACAGCGTCTTTACCTCATTTCTGAGACATATATTAATCATTTTACGGTCGTATATTGACATGTATTAAAAAATTAACAAATACAAAAGAACTTGATAAAGTATTTCAAGCACTTAACATTAAACTGACACAATATGAAACTGAATCGGTAGTTGATTCAGCCATAAACTTAGAATTTATTAATTCTAATTTAGTCTAAGAACAGTCATTGAGAAAAGAAGCCTATGAATTGCAGTTGAAAGCACGAGAACAGTTTATGAAACAAATTTTAAAAGATAATAGTACAGCAGTTGAATAAGAAACATGTTTCAGTTATAAAGCGAAAGATACTTAATGTTAACGAATTGAAATGAATATTGAGTGATTTAGCAGCACATGTCCATCAAACATCTGCATCGGGTCGCATTGAAGAATTTGATTTGAAGCGTCTTTGTATGAGTTCATTGAAAACGTATAAAACAGACACAGAGGCTGTAGCTGAGAGTCAGTTGTAAAGACAAGCCAACGAGTTTATTCGAATGATTCGTGAAGATGTTGGCATACTAGCAGCACGAGGTGAATACATTTATGGATTTTTACACTTAACATTTCAAGAGTATTTTACGTCGTTAAACTTGGTTAATATTAATCAGCTAACAAAGTCACAAATCCCCCACCTCAGATAAAAAGTCTTATATTAAATTATCCAGCAATTTATTTTACCATCGTATAACCGATCCTCGTTTTTGTGTCCCGTTAATGTTAGCTTTTGGCTACGTATCATGGGAAGCGTCTTTGACCAACGAGTCTGGTTTGAAGTGGACACCGAATGACTATGATGCTTTGTGTACGGAAATAATATCAACTCAAAATATGGTCAGCAAGCACTTGCCGCTTCGTGCTTTATTGTTGATAACTTCTGTTAGTGATTTAGTTGTGCTTCCATCCAAATCTATTATATTCAATGCATTTAATCAAACATTAAGTGCTGCTGGCGAATATCGTTGGTATTCTAGTTATTCTGAATTACGAGTGGAAATCTCCCAGGGTCTGAATAATCTTCCTTCTACACTGGTTAATGAATGGGCTGTCAAGTTTCTTTCGATTTCTTCACCACCACGTTCTGTTCAATCTATATCAGCATTCTGTCATGTATTAATCGGAGCCGGAAAACAAAAGAATAGCCTGGCAGCAGTCACATGGCTAGATCATAAACTTACTGAATTATTATGGAACAATCTTACCTTTGATAATTTAACCAATGAATTTATTATCGATGATTTATTAACTCAAATAGCTGCTGATAATCATCATTTATTATCATCACTCTTACAAACATTAAAAACCATTCTATCTAACAGCTCTGTTTCCGTGAAAAACATGCATCCAGCAGTCCTGCCACTAATCATTGCCATTTACGGTGGGCTCCACAGGTATAATCAAATGGTGGACGAAGAAACGAAATCAGCTGTGATGTTTTCACCACAGCACATTCATCGGGATTCTTCACTTACCATCTGCTTCGCAGACTATTTTATGGATGAAAAGAAGATTTCAGATGACTTAATAACAACAATGGTAGAACATTGTAAGAAGATAGTTAACGGTACAACAGCGGACGATTGCTAATTACCAGTTGTCGATGCTTTTATTGCCATATTCTGTTGACAGGCGTTGATCAACCCTGGTTATATCTCTCGTATTCCTCCCATACCGCATTTAAATTAGCTCCGAACAGACTTAAACGAACTACAGCTTACCTTCGACAAATCTATTTTGTGCCGGATGACGTGAATGCAACTAAAACCAACTTTATCGACAACGCCACAAGAATAGTCAGTGAATTCATAAAATTATCTTTCGACCGAGATCCTGGAAACGTTATTGAAGGTAATCAACTTGTTGAAAGTTGTCTTTGTTTTGTTCGGGCAGCGGCGTGTTCCATGACACGATGACAGCTAATAAATCATTTTTGTTCTCAAACTTTACAGGTACACAATCTACTAAATTGACTTTGACCGACAGCTTTAAAAGCGATGATTTCATTCAAAAACTACCACGTCTAAGTACAGCACCTTCATCGTACGAAGAATGTTCACCAACTTTGCCGAATTTTATTCGTTACAGTATTTCCCAGACTACCTTATGAACGCACGAACCAGCGAAGACTATTACAACGATACTGTCTTAATTGATACCAGAGGTTATTTTTTAACGTTTTATTATCAAGATAACTTACTCTTTTTCTCATCTTTTGTTCCATATTATCTTCAAACACTGTTTCTCGAGTTAATTATTCAGAAAGAATTACAGTTAAAAAAGGTAGAGAAAACTTCTCCGCTTTCTATGGCTAATATTTTAACAGAGCGTGTCTTGAATATGGATCCTTCACCGGCCCACTGTTATCGTAGCACATTCATTTTGTTATCGCTCATGACATTATTACCAGAATGGAAATTGGAAAATTTAGCAAAGGCTTTCATTTGGCATGCCCAATCACCGTATTTAAAGAAACATTTCTATTCGAGTTTATTGCTGCCTGAAACAATTGACTCCGGCTGCTATGATGACTACTGAATGAATCAATTCAAACGGCGTTAACCATCACGGATCCAGTACTGAAGTTATACGCGCTGCGCATTATCGTTTTTCACCCAGTGGTACAAGTGTTGATGTTATTTTTCGTTTTGAAGGACGTGATTGGTATCGATATGTAGAAATCAATACTAGAAACGCTACATGACCTGTCTTCTGATCCTCCTTGTCATACACTTTAGTTGTTTTATCGTACTTATCATTCCTCGGCGTTAATCCAACAACTGAAAGATGTCTGAACGTAATATTGAAGAATCTAGAAGGAACCAGCAGCAGCGGACATAAACTAGCGGTCTTCGAAGTTTTACAACCATTCCTAGACTGGAGTCCCACAAGTCGTCTTCGAATCCTCGCTTTTATGCAAGAACGACCACTCTCTTCACCAACCAAGTACAAAAACATGTTACCGATACATTCCACAACGATACATTAGTCTTTTAACTCTCCCACAGACCGATTTCTAACCACAGTTGATGATTCAGATCCGTCGGTTTCAGTATTTTTATCTAGTATGTACTTGCCTGAACTTTGCTATAACGTTCAAACATTGCCGCAGTGGTTCACAGACGACACCAGCGGGCTCGTTCATTCTCATTTCGGACCTCCGATGACTGACATCGTTGATGCTCTGACAGAGGTCCTTGCTCACGCTCATGCGGTTGCCATCGATAAAACAATTCAGCTTCATCAGAACTTTAATGACAGTATAAAGTTAATAGCCCTAGACACTGAACTACGACATTATCAAATAGTTGAATCATCTGCACAGAACATTCTTGAAATATGGCTGCAGTTTAGAACAAACGGCAGAACTGTTTTACAAAATTTCTCATACCATGCAGCGTTACTGCTAGCAAACTCAAACATGTGGATTGTTTCAACTGCTCAGATGCTCTGCGAAATGCTGTTATGTGAAATCGATTGGTTTCGTCAACGAGCCGAAAAAACGCTATCGGATAGCGGAATGAGATTAAGCACCGATTTAGGCTTAGATGTCCTTATGATACTGATTAAAAACTGCTTGGCATACAGATTAACGTCAGCCTATGCTTGTTTGATTTTGTTGTGGACATTTGACAATAGGAATATGACAGTTCCATATCAACTACTATCATAGGAACTGTTAAAAAGTTCTTCGAACGGAGCTGATATGTTCGAACAACAATTTTGAAAGGAGCTGATATGTTCGAGCAGCTCACTAGTCGTCTAGACAAAGTTTAAACGTCCCGAATGTTCATTAGACGTTCATATCAGCGAAGTCCTGCAATCATAAATAGAAGCATGTAAAATGGTCAATTTTTTATTCCTCAGATAAGTATGGTTAAAAAGTAAAATAAAAGAAGTATGATCTTTGTAAGAAAAGCAGACTAAAGAAAAGAGTAAAGTTTATCTTTTAGGAACATTGAATATTTCAAGTTTTTAGCTGAGAGAGAAGACCGTGTTTTTCGAGCAACATAGCCTACAATTGAGAATGCGCTCTCACTGGGGACTGAGGTCGCGGGTATAGGACCGAATCGACATGCCCTCTGGTTCAATATTGGATCAGCGTGAAGCTTTAGCAGTAGTCGTTGAAAAAATTTCAAAAAATTTCAGTTTTTAAAAATTCAAGAGCTGTTCAAACATATCAGCTCCTTTCAAAAGAGCTGTTCAACAGTTCTTTCGCTCAAATGGGCTGAACTTATGAGCTGGAACTGTTACAGGTCTATTTGACAATATTACGGTGGACATAATCAAGATTTAAATGATCTATTAAAATTGTTAGATTATGATTATATTCGTTGTTATAATTCTCTTTTAACGGGAACTGAAGATCATTATGTGAGTGTTGCCGGCAGAACTGATACAAAAGTACCCTTCATTATTAATAAAATTTATACAATAATTGCACGAGAGTATCAAGCATTTTACTTCTGATTTAGAACAGGAGAGTGATAAGGAGGAATTGACCTCCTTACAAGTCTTGCCAAATTGTTATTCTAGGCCGATGAACATAATATGGATTTTCAAGAATTGTGTTACCAGGATATGAAGGCCAATGACGAAACAAAAGACGCAGATGAAAACACGGAAGATACATCATAATTTCAAAACGCTAAAAAATTTAAAACAGAACGAAGGAAGATTGGAAAATGAGTTTTGGGTCTATTGACGGTGATTTTTAGGAGTGTAACAGTTGTTATTAAAAGGTATTTAGAGACTAGCAGATGAACAGTTGTTTTGTTGGTACGTAAGTTGCTGAATTTGCTTTTTTAATTCTCTTAATGTGTCCCTTCGTTTGTGGTAAACTAACACATATAACTGCTTTGATCTTGCTTCGCTACACAAAGTAAAAGAAACGGCTTACTTCCCTGAGTAGAGCGCTGTGGGTTCGGATTTGAAACAATATTTTTTGGATTCCGGTTCTTAAAACTTTTAAGAAAAAAGTTTAGACTAAACCCGAAAATATCTTTTAACTTAAAAGATATTTTCGGGTTTAGTCTAAACCTTTTACAAAGAAAATGCTTTTTCAGCGATATTTTGCAGTTTTAAGCAAAAGAAACTTCTTCGGGGTTTTTACAACTTCTACAAAAAAATTTAAACCCGCAGGAGTCTATCCCTAAGCATAATCTCACAGCGGAACCGCTTCCTCTTTCCTTCGATAGCTATATCAATATATTTTGAGAAAACCAGTTGTTTCTCAAGAAATCGGACTGTCATTTCATGTACGGTAAAAGTTTGCACAGACAGAAATAGTTAAGTTTACTCATGTTAGATCCAAAGCCGTTTCGTTTGTTTATTGTATTATTTTTGTGCATTTCTCAGCCATATCAATGTCTTTGCTCCACACGCTGCCAAATTCTGTGGCTTTTAGCATATTCCATTACTAAATAAAATTGATTATTTTCACTACACTGCTGTAAAATAGACAACATTGTCCAGAGATCGAAAAATAAACAATAAAGCACTCTTACATTTATGTGCGAACAACATATCAGCACATTTCTTTCTAAAAGACAAAGCTGGCCATTTGAACTATAACTCTTTGAAATAAAATCTCATTATTAAAAAAGGAGCTTTAAAACAGACTGAGGGCCGAAACGTCTTTTAAATAAAGTATTGGTAAGACACAGCTTGTTTTCCATCTCTAAACTGTGATGTTGATTTTCCTTGGATTGAAATGGCAAAATTAATCTTTAACAGACGAAAGTAGGTGTTGTTTCCAAAATATATAAGTGGCTGTGAGGGTGAGGGTGCACCAGATGCAATAAACATGATCAGAGTATGAACGTATCTTAAGTATTTAACCTCTGGATAGCTGACTCAGTAACGACCTGGAATTAAGTTTGAAAAATGAAAAAGTACGTTTTGCACTATAGTTAACTAATTAGTACAAACTAATCGTGTTGACACACAACGAAGTATTTTTGGACTAAAACCAAAGAAAGCATCAAAGTACTTTTGCTCATCGGAAAGAGCAAAAGACTGATTCTAACGCGTGTCAAAGGGAATATTTTCAACTTCTGTTAAAGCTAAGGAAACTGAGAAGAACGCGATAGGTGGCTGAAGTTACACGTCGAATTCGGACGGCATTTTAGTTTAAGCTTTTCTGCCTGAATTTTTTGTCCTGTAAATAATTACGGTCATGCATCCTGTAATTCTGTATCTTTTATTCTAAAATAAATTCCTATCTTTCAGCATGGCAGATGATTTTTAGAGCAAAAGGCATATTCGGCTTTGTTAAAAGCAAAACAATTTTACGACGAGGCAGCGTCTCTGTCGACGAGTACGCCTGTATAAATAAAGCCGGCTACTTTTCAGATTTCGCGTTATTCTGGTTCAAAGAGCAAAGTGCGCTGAGTAAACTCTGAAATTCAGTTGTACACTCTGCTTTACATGGTAAACATCTGACACTCCCAAGTAAAAAATCTTGACTGCAGATCTTGATAAAAACTTGAAAGTGTTCTTAAGTTTCAGTTTAGTTCCTTCAAGATCTTATGCAGATTTATCGATATCTGACAAGGTTCTGGGATCATCTTGCAGTTCAAGATTGTCGA